CAATCTTAATGATTCGAGAGGGTGCTGTCAAATATGCTAATTAATAAGAGTAGACGATATTTTAAGATACAAAATCAGACACAAAAACGCACTTTCTCTGAATAATTATCTTTTTTTCCGACGGATTCGGATTTCTGTCTCCCAAAATATAGGGGATAGCCGTAAACTGGGAAATATGGGGACAATAGTTAGATTACGAGAGCGATCCGAAGTCTGGTTTCCTTAATGTTAATTTAACATTTTGCGCAATTCGTCATATCTCGCGAAATTTTTGTACACAATCATAAAATTTATTTGTCGAAAGATAATCCCATGCAAAATAGGTTTTAGTAAGCATTTATTATTTTTTTATTGTTTTATTTAATAATATTAGAAAAAACTTTAAATTATTTGCACCATTTTTACACAATTTTTACACCATTTTTAAGTACGTAACTGTACATGGCGAAATCGGTTGAATAGTTACTGAGAATTTTAACTCTGCGACTTTTTTATGAAAAATGAGACCGACATTGTGTGGGACACCTCCATAAAAGTATGTTTACTTCTTGCATGTTTTCTTTCTCTGTACCATCAATATTCAGTTTCTGGAATATCTCTGTAAGGTATTATCATTTGTTATTAAATTTTGTCTTATGATGCAAAAAAACCTCTGATCACTTTAAGCTCTCCTTTGAAAAGTACAAAAACTCTTTAGAAAATTGCTTGAAACTTTTTAAATTTTTAAGATATTCAAATAAAATTTTTTATTAGTTTCCAACTACGGAACGCTACAAAATTGAGAAAAAACTTTTAAAAATTTTTTCAGTGCATGCGCAGTATAAAAGAATAGCTTAAATTCACATAACTTGCGTAGTTTTTACAGAATGTTTCAAAATTTAAATCTACAATTTTGTAATTAATCTTAAATTGCTCTAATTATTTTAAAATTTCATTCAACATCTATAAAGTTATAATGAGACATCGTGAAAAAATGTATGTATTTTTTTAAATTGTCCATATCTCCATAAATATTGAATCTAGGTTTACGAAATTTTACTTAGTAAGTAATCGATGCAAGTTACAAGCTTATTGCTCGTTTTTCTGGCATGGGGTGTTCAAAAATACTTGTTTTATTTCGTTATTTATTATGGTTCTAGGGGTGTTTCACCGAACATACCACCTGTGGTCTTTACCCCCACCCCTACAGAATGAAAGGAACTCCTGAGGTAGGTATACTGACATCGAAAACAAGTACAGGGGTTAACATAAGAATGATTTTTGGCATAACAATATGAAGTCAAAAATCTCGCCAGTGATATGTTTGTAAACTACACCTTCCTCTTACACAAGAATTAGCTGCGCATGCTCGACAAATCGAAACCAAAAATCGAAATACTAGATCAGTTGTGACTAGTATTGACAGCACTGATCTAGTAACTAGTTTCACTCTATATCCACGCCCTCGAGTGAGCTGTAGGGCTTCTTTATTGTAATTTATTCCTTTTTTTATAAGTTGTAATGATTAATATTAATTCATAACATTCTGTCTCTTTGCAGAAAAATAGGAAAATTCGCAAATTTTATAACACATTTTTTATCTCGAATTTTTGAAAGATTTATAATTTGTAAACTTTAAAATTAAAAAAAAAAA